CAGGCTGGTCTCGAACTCCTAACCCTGTGATCCACCTGCCTCGGCCTCCCAAAGTGCTGGGATTACAGGCATGAGCCACTGCGCCCGGCCAAGTTTTTTTAAGAAAAGAAAATGAATTAGTAATTAGCGTATGCTGCCTTATTCAGGCTTGTCTTATTGTTAGAATTGCCAAATCTTGTGTTTGAGTGGCGCCATAATAATGTCTGCTATTTTTAAATAAAGCATAGCTCTTTAATCTTAAATTACAGAAAGGATGAAGTTTCTATATTGAGAGCCATATTTTAATCATTGCATTGGCTTTTATAGGAGTTTATGATTAAAATTTATTTCTAGTACTTAATTCTTTGGAGTATCCTTTGGCTGTTTCATTTTATTGTGTTTATTTCCTTTGGCCCTTTTAGAAACGTGAATCATTTAAAGGTCATACAGATAGTCATCTTCCCAGGTGCAAATCATTTTTAAAAGTTCATCGTCACACTAAATGTCATCTATTCATATTTGGGTTTTAAAGACCTTCTCTGGATAATTGCAAGTATCAGAGCCCAACCGCCTATTTTTCACTGCTGGACAGGGACACTCATATATTACGGGAAAAGCTAATGTCAGATAGTTTTAAGAGCATAGAGGATTAAAATTAATGTATGAAATAAATTCAAATTTACATTCAGAGTTTCTTTCAAGGCCCTTTTGACTTCACCGACTTAAAACGATTGAAGTGATTGCCCGTTCTCCAGCAGAGACGGATGCCAAGATGTCACATGACAAATATGTGATTAAGTAGAAAAGATAATTATGTTTTCCTATTTTTCCATAGATTATGAGAACTTGTGTACCTACTTTATTATCTAACTAAAATGTTCACATTTGTGCAAGCATTCCATTTGACAAACAGAGGTTTACCCGTACAAGGAGAAACCGTGGGCAGCCTGTTCTCACTTTGTTATAGGTTACATGGGAGGAAGCAGTTCTAGTGCCTCTGGTCTGTTCCAGAACAGCTTTTGCTATCAAACTCAGGTGGATCGCCTGAGGTCAGGAGTTCGAGACCAGCCTGGCCAACATGGTGAAAACCCAACTCTATAAAAAATACAAAAATGAGCTGGACGTGGTGGCGCACGCCTGTAGTCCCAGCTACTCGGAAAGCTGAGACACAGGAATCGCTTGAACCCAGGAGGTGGAGGTTGCAGTGAGCCAAGATTGTGCCACTGCACTCCAGCCTCAGCAGCAGAGTGATACTCGGTCTCAAAAAAAAAAAAAAATGTCATTGGCCAGGTGAGGTGGCTCATGCCTGCAATCCCAACACTTTGGGAGACCAAAGCAGGAGGATCTCTTGAGCTAGGGAGTTCAAGGCCTGGGCAACATAGTGAGACCCCATCTCTAAAAATAATAATAGTAGGCCGGGCGCGGTGGCTCAAGCCTGTAATCCCAGCACTTTGGGAGGCCGAGGCGGGTGGATCACGAGGTCAAGGGATCGAGACCATCCTGGTCAACATGGTGAAACCCCATCTCTACTAAAAATACAAAACATTAGCTGGGCATGGTGGTGCGTGCCTGTAATCCCAGCTACTCA